ATGGAATTTTAAATTTAACTTTATTAACTGCAGTTTAATTTTATCCTAGGACATTTGATCACCTTATATGGACATAATTAAGTTGTTATTTGATTTTGACAACAGTATAAAAACGGCTATTAGTAAAACCAGGAACACCGTAACACCGGAACACGGAACACCGGAACAGCATCATTCCGGAACACGGAACACTAAAAATTCTTAATTTGTTAAAAATTCAGGGAAAAAATACCAGGGGTGTGTGTGAAAGTATTGCTGCAATAATTATTGCGTAAAACGTGCCTTTCTGACAGATAGCTACTAATGACGAACAGAAATCCTCGCAGAAATCAGTCTCAAAGTAATAAATATTTGCCTGAAAAATAGAAATCAAACCTATGATTGACTTCCTTGTTTTTACCGACTTAGCTACTCTTGAAGTGCAAAAGTTGGTATTTAGCATCACTTTAATACAGACAGTTCTGTAATATTGATCCTTTCTCACACGAAATATTTTATAAGCGGCGATGGATAAAAAACCTTTACTCTTTAGCATGTAGTGAACCTTTCGCTCAATTAAAATGACAAAAATACAAACAAATATAATTATAGACCATGCATTAAGCTGTATACATAAATTATGTTTCAACGCATGCATGTGTGTCTATATTCGTCCATGTTTAAACTGTAAATTAAACTGACACTCAGTGAGGGAATTTTAGTACGAGTAAAAATCCTAAGACTCTATCCGCGTTTTCGCTCGAGTTTTCGCTAGCTCTAACATTCAATATTGTTGCTGTTGGCCGTCTATAATATGGCATAGCATACCGAGCATACTAGCCTACATATAAGAAGGTCGCTCACGACAACGCGGTACTAGGCTATCTGATGTCCTGACTCCTGTATATCGCATTATGGAGGTACTGACACAGTAATAATAATAATAATAATAATTATATTTATCCAGGATACCCACATCACTTATGTGTTTTTCAGTGGGGTCCTGCATCAGAATTACAATTATTTACAATAATAATTGTCAATATTTAAATTGTACAAAAATATACAAATATATACACATGCACGTTACAATGATGGTGATAAATAGACCACTAATTTATAATTCATAAAAATGTAATTTAGTCAGCAAGCATGCAACGTGCCTCAAATGGTAGGAAAGAATCAATCGATTCAGAAGTCAGAAGTTAAGATAAAAAATGCTCAAAATTAAATTAAGTGTAGAGACACGGTGCATACCCGAACTAAACTGTACATGCACATATATTTAAAATATATCAAGCATGCAATAACTGTGTCTAAGTACGAAGTAGATTTAATTGAGTCTTAAATTGAAACAGAGAACTAACGTTTGCAACTGAGCTGTTCAAATTGTTGAAGTCCATCGAAGCGTAGTAAGTCGGTCTAAGTTTACCCCAGTTCGTGTTGGCTTTTGGAAGATGAAGGTTGTTGCAGGATCTTGTGTTGTAGGAATGAATACAGTTGTTAGTTGTTAGTTTAAAGTCAAAATCGAACAGTCCATTAGTATAGTATAGGCTATATAGCACGAAAGATTGCATACACTAAATTATTCCCTTTTAGGATGCGCCAGTTTTATATATATAAACAACAAGTTGATTCATGCAGTACAAACATGTCAGCAGAAGATCAACTTGTTGTTTATAAATGTAAAACTGGCACATCCTAAAAGGGAATAATTTGTAGTGTATGCAATCTTTCGTGCTATAGCCTATACTGTGTCAGTACCTCCATAATTATATATATATAGGAGTCAGGACATATAGCCTAGTACTGCGTCGTCGTATGCGACCTTCTTATAGGCTAGTATGCTATGCCATATTATAGACGGCCAACAGTGAATCTCAGAGCAAGCGAAAACTCAAGCGAAAACGCGGATAGAGTCGTAGGATTTTTACTTGTACTATTAAAATTCCCTCGCTGTCCACTGAGTGTCAATTTAATTTACAGTTTAAACATGAACGAATAGACACACTTTAGACACACATGCATGCGTTGAAACATCATTTATATATACAACTTAATACATGGTCTATAATTATATTTTGTTTGTATTTTGTCATTTTAATTGAGCGAAAAAGGTTTATATTATCACGCGCTAAAGGTTTTTTATCCATCGCCGCTTATAAAATATTTCGTGTGAGAAAGGATCAATATTAAATAACTGTCTGTATTAAAGTGATGCTAAATACCAACTTCGAATGAGAATTGAAAATTTAATATCCTTTTGCACTTCAAGAGTAGCTAAGACTAAGTCGGTAAAAACAAGGAAGCCAATCAACTGTTGTTACTTTAATATTTTGATTGTCATGTTTTCAACAACAAACAAAGATGGGCCATTCAATATTCTCAACAAATAACAATTCTAGGTTTGATTTCTATTTTTCGGGCAAATATTTATTACTTTGAGACTGATTTCTGCGAGGATTTCTGTTCGTTATTAGTAGCTATCGGTCAGACAGAAAGGCACGTTTTACGCAATAATTATTGCAGCAATATTTTCACACCTCCTGGTATTTTTTCCCTGAATTTTTAACAAATTAAGAATTTTTAGTGTTCCGGTGTTCCATGTTCCGGAATGATGCTATTCCGGTGTTCGGTGTTCCTGGTTTTACTAATAGCCTATAAAAACTGGCTATTAGTAAAACCAGGAACAATGGAACACCGGAACACGGAACACCAGAACAGCATCATTCCGGAACACGGAACACTAAAAATTCGAGAAAAAAATACCGGGGGGGGGATGAAATTATTGCTAGAAAAATTATTGCATAAAACATGCTTTTTAATAATATTCTGACTTGCCGATTCCTACTATAAATTAGGAACTGATATCAGTCTCAAATTAACAAATATTTGCCCGAAAAGAAGAAATCAAACCTTGCTATTTGTTGACAATAAATGGCTATCTGACTTTGTTTGTTATTGAAAACATGACCTTTGGGCTTTGTCCGGCTTTTGGTCAATATTAATAGTGTAACAACAGTTGATTGGCTTCCTTGATTTTACAAACTTTACTTATGAAGTCGAAAAGGATAATTTTTATCACTCGTTAAAAGTTTGCGTTTACTTTAGGATCACTTACAATTTTTTAATATACGTAATAGCAAGTTGATCGTTTCTCACACATAAGCAGCGATGGAAGGGAAACTTTTAGCGTGATAATAACCTTTCGCCATTTCGGTCAATAAAAATGACAAAAATACAAACAAATGTAGGCCTTGTATAAAGTCATAGCTTAAATAATATTTCAACGCACGTGTGTCTATTTAAACACGGAAAATGTTTTATATTTGTTAAATATCAACACGAGTGGACTTGGGAAAACGAGAAATTGTATGGAAACACGACGCCCAAAGGGCGGAGTGTTTTCAACAATTTCGAGTTTTCCCAACTTCCACAAGTGTTGATATAACTATATATCAATACGGAAAAAATGTTTTATATTTTTTTATAATATAGCAATGTCAAAAGCCCGAAGGATAAGAAAAATTTCCGTGTTTACAAGCTGCGGAAAATTTCCCATGTTGACATTGAGTTATATCAACACGGCTCTCAGCCAATCAGCGTTCAGAATTTACAAATGCTATATTATAAATAAATATATAAGTCTGAAAACGCAGAGAGAAGGTGAGAATCAGGGAAGAGGTTATTTCGCTGGCCTCAAAGTGACAAAACGTAACAAAGCAACGGTTTTACTAACACTAACCCTACCAAACACCAACTGTAACCCTAATAATCCTAACTCCATCCCTAACCTAACCCTACTCCAAGTTTGTTTCTAAACCAATTTTGAAGAAAAAAGTTTTGACAAAATGTCATTCTGAGGTCAGCGAAATAGTATTTTCCGAGAATCAGACACTCAACAAGGTACAGTAGATACTTTCTGTGTTTGCTGAACTGTGACGTGACTGACGTCTTTTTCTTGATCCCTATTGTTGCTTATAAACTCATACATAAAAATACTCTGCGAATATTAGAAATTCTATATACAATCAAAACAGGGGGACCTTGGAATTTCCATCATATGCTCATTGAAAGCGCTTTGGAAAATCTGAATAAAATTCACACAATTCAGAGGGGTCCCCTGGAAATTCCATGCGTCTAAACAACTGGGTACCTTGGAATTTCCATCATATGTCGATTGGGAGGGCTTTGGAAAATCCAAACAAAATCGCCGGGATCCCTGGAAAATCCACATCTCTTCAACAGAGGGTCCCCCGGAAATTCCATGCATCTAAACAACAGGGGGCCTTGGAAATTCCGCATGTCCTCAATAGGGGGGGGCTAAAAGTGCAATGGCCCAATATGGCGTTTGTAATTTCGTACAGAAGATTTGATTTAACCAAAGATTTTCAAGACGTATGTTACCTTTAATGATCCAAAGGATACATGCTCAAATATTTTAAAGAGGAAACGTCAAAAACTCAGGTATACATAAGAAATTAAAAATTATATTCGCGTAGTTATAAATGGTCATAAATATTCAGCAAGTTTTAAAGTTTATTCTGAACTTAGTGCGAGTTCTTTAACTTTCGGTATAATATATCATTTATAGACCCTCTGCTCGGTGGATTCGGCGATATTTCCCACAGTGATGATATTTTCCTCGGGGCAATGCCTCTCGGAAAATATCATCACTTCGGGAAATATTACGCCGAATCCCCCTCGCTCCGGGTCTATAAATGATAAATATTCACTGCATGAGCTGCAAAGTGAATATAGTCTTGTGATCACCGAGCCTGAGGTGACTAATTGTTTTAGTATCAGCATTGAAAAATAATAATATTTACAAATGTTGTAAATATAATTTACTTCACTCTTCCACTTTTGAGTCAAACGAATCCAGCTTTCGGAACCATGTCGCCCGATTATGTTATTTTCCGGTTTTAAATTGCCAAATATTTTTTTAGGCATCTAAAAGATGCTTTTCTTTTTCGGAAATAGGTCAACACCATATATTGTGGCTGCTTTTGCTTTTAGAGCAGTAGTATGTGCTTTTTCTTTCATGATTTGTCTATTTTGAGCCATTTTGTTTTGAAAGCAATAAGCAGTAACTATTGCCTCAGAGTTATTGCTGAGGGAGCCAATCAGAACGCTTGAAAGCCATTTTTCAATACTGAATTTGAACTGATACATTTGAGATAAAGCCCAGATAATATGTCTTTAGAAAACATATCTATTTGCCTTGTCAAACAATTGCCAAATGGGAATATTGTCTTAAATTGAGAAATAAAATCCATTTACCTCTACTACAAGGTGAACTTAGGGACTGCTCATTATTTATTGTACAGGGGGAGACTGAGGAGAAACTCTATACAGTTATTATAAGTAATAGCATGGCTTGAGGGAGATTAGTGATTAAATGGCCCCGTAACTTCCGCAAACCTGCCGAGGGTAAGGGGTCATTTAATCACTAATCTCCCGAAAAGCCATGCTATTAGTTTGTAATAGCATAGTTGCGCTCCCATTTAAAAATGGACAAACATGCCCTACTTGGAATCAG